TTGGAGTCTGTGGGATTGGGTATTGTTGCAGCAGGAGGCACAGTTGAAGTCTGTGTGATTGGGTACTGTTGCAGTAGGACGTACTGTTGAAGTCTGTGGGATTGGGTACTTTGAGGTACGAGTGTTTTTCCAAGGTGTTGAAGTTTGTTTGATTGGGGAAGGTTAGGTCCAGCAACCCTTGGGTGGTTAGGGTTAATACGAGTGAATGTGGGAAGACTGTTTTTAAACTGTACGGCATTTCCCAGGTGTAGGCACCTGGTCTAAAGGGTCTGCTAGGTTTCACGTAACTCAAACGGTCACCAACAGCCACAGCACTTTGAACTGTAGCAGTGCCTGCAATAAATGACTTTCCTTCTGGAGGCCAAGATCTGAAAGAAAATCTCCCACCCTTGGATCTTGTGAAGTTCTGTGGGATTTGGGATCAAGGATTCGGCTCACCTCTGTATAGCATCCAATGCGCCGCTGATGTTGTCCTGCTTGCCCTTCATGTCCTGAACATCCGTCAGAATCTGATGCACGTCATCCAGCTTCAACTTGCTCTCCTCTCGTGTCGACACCTAGTGGGAGGTGATGAGACCATTATTTGACACTGTGAGGACAATCACCGTAGATTAGGGACACTAGAAAGAAAAATTAGTCTAGCGCTTTCAAACTGGCCAGCTAAAGACACCAGTCATCGCTTTGAAGTACAGTAATGTACCGTGCAGAAAGCAATGTTGAGCGACAGATTTGATGTCAATTTGGCACTGTTATTTCTATAAGCTGTACCGGGCTCATCAATGTTTGTAAACTGCAGAAGGTTGAAGATTGTTTTCCAGTTCAAGGGACAATAACCGTAGATTAGGGACACTAGAAAAAAAAATTAGTCTAGCACTCTCAAACTGGCCAGCTAGAGACACCAGTCATCGCTTTAAAGTACAGTAATGTACCGTGCAGAAAGCAATGTTGAGCAACAGATTTGATGTCAATTTGGCACTATTACTTCTATGAGCTATACCGGGCTCATCAATGCTTGTAAACTGCAGAAGGTTGAAGATTGTTTTCCTATTCATCCGTCATATTGAAAAGAGACCCCTGTGCTCACAGTGTGCAATGAATGTGTGACACAAATTAAGTCGGACTTGTAAGATCTTGAAATAAACTGGTCTTCTTCAAATTTAAAGCTTTAAGTGGCAACTGGCAAAGAAACATCTGGCCACATCATGACACAAATTTCCTTTGTACACAAGTTACTCAGATACTGTTGCATCAAATACTTGAATACTGACCTTTCGTTTGATATTATCCAAGAGCTCCGGTCTTCCTTTGACAAAGTTTGGGTGCTGGAACTCAATTTCATCACTTTCCATCTTCAGAGATCCTTGCTCCAGATTAGCCTTCTTCCGGAAGCCATCTGAAGGGGAAAACAGGACAGAGTGACCTTGTTTAGTACATATGCTAGAGTGGACCACTTTAGGCTACCTCCAAGCATGCTTGGAAAATGCCTCCATAGATCAGTGACTTGTAGCGCTCTAAAAATGTACACACTAAAAAAGAATCACATTACATAGAATGGAAAAAGGATCTGATTGGATTGTGTGGAATCCCAGACAATATTGCAAGAGTATTGATGAGAGTGAAGTTTACTTTACACTTAAAGCATGCCACCATTTAGTTTAGCCAAAAGTAAAAGGTAAGAAAAACAACCTGCACAAATTTCACTTGATCTGAGATTAACAAATTGGTACTTACACATGTTAAGCTGGCGAATGAAACTTGCCATGTTGCTGTGTTTGAAGAACTTTGGCAAGATTTCCTTGGCAAAACGGGTCTGGTTTTGAACAACGAAGCTATTCCCAAACTTGATGGAAAAAGGATCAAATCAGTAAGAGAAAAGTACATAAAACAAAAAGCAATGCAACCAATTGTGAAATGTGACTGAAGTGAAAGTTAAGACATTCATGCAAAGAATGAATTTTGATGCCCACAGGAATTTTTGAAAGATGTGCATCTTTTCGTGAGTTCTGACAGCTCTGTGTTCTGTAGGTCAATATATGAATCACGACTTTCCACAAAGTATCGATGGCTGATATACTACTTTAGGGAAAAATTAGTGATGTCCGTATATGGAACTCTTACTAGCATACTTAACCAAAGCTCTGAATGAAAAGTCAGGCAGAAAGTGTTTTTGGTCATGAGGAGGAACTCCATATTTATGGACACCACTTGACACTCATTTTGTGAAAGGGTTAGGATGGGAAGGAGAAATGAGCAACTCCCTGTCTGCAAAATATCCCATATGACCTGCGCCTCCAATAGCCTCTCTACTGTCTGGCTTCTCTTGCCGGCCCTTGTTTAAAACTGATGGCAGAGATGTGAAAGGCGAGTTTCTGGCGCCTTAAACCAAATTGCTCCAGGCAGGTGAGGCTCTTAAGCCATGGGAGGCAGCCCACCTAGGAGAAGGACAACTCTGATAACAAACTCGGGTAGGTAGAGCTCGTTAGCCTGGGTCATCAGCCTGCCTAGGAGAAGTACATCTCTGATTTCAAACCCACAGTCAAAACCACCACTGTCTCGCGGCCTTCCCGCTTACGGGAGAGACTTTGGGAGTAAACCCTGAGGAAAAATCCAGAGCTGGAGTCCCTATGGTGGTTTGCTGGTGCATGCATCATCGTTCTGGCAACTCCTGTGTCGCCCTGGTGCCAGGCGTACTAGCTAACTTTTCCCCTAGACCACATCAGCAGCAAGGAGAGGAGGTTCTTGCCACATGGGCAGCAGCTAGTCCTCCCAATTACTTTGCCCAGGCCTGCACCTGGAAAGGTCACTCCAGTGTCGCCCTTGGTGACGGCACAACACAGAGGGTGGCAGTTACCAGTGATAAGCCATGGCTCGTTTGGCGAAGAGTGCCGGGCGCCAGGGGTTACCCTCGACGGTGGGAGGAATCCCTACATTCCACTGGGCAGTTACCGCATGTCTTAATCTGGGAAGCCCCAGGACAGTTGGGTACTGCCTGCCATAACCTGTTTGCTCCATTGGGTGCCTGGGGCTAAGGGAAACCAACAGGCAGGTTGTAAATCCATGGACCAAGCGACAAGAAAAACAAAAACTCTCGCAAAAAGGTTCCAGCCTTGATTGCAAGCTGGAACGTGAGGACAATGTGTCCAGGTCATGACTGCGATCCACAAAGTGTGACTGATCTATGCAAGTCGGCTGTGATAGACAAAGAGTTGAGCTGTCTCTGCATCGATGTGGCCGCCCTCCAGGAGACCAGACTGCCAGATGACGGTTTCCTGCGTGAGCGCAATTACACGTTCTTCTAGCAAGGAAAGAGTGCCGAGGAGGCATGCATTCACGGGGTAGGCTTCGCCATGAGAAAAGTGGAAGTAGGTGTGCTCCGCCCACTTCCAGACGGGGTGGGAGGTGCTGGGGAAGATGGAGAAGAGGAATGACATTCAAGGCCAACTGGTAGGTGATGGAGCCGGTGGTGGAAGCAAAGCGGAAGGCACGCCTAGACTACACTAACAACCCTTGCCAAGCCACGCAGAACGCACTGAGAGCCGCCCGCAGCAAGTGCCAGCAGACAGCCCGACGCTGCACCAACAACTACAGGGTCCAGCTTAGTGAGAGGATCCAGTGCACAGCAGACATGGAAAACATAGGCAGTATGTCCCCCTCAGACCAAGACAGGGGAGCACATCACCGACCAGCGGCAGCAGATGGAGCAGTGGGTGGAGCTATACCTGGAGCTCTACGCCACACAGAACGTCATGTCGGACGCAGCACTTAATGCCATCCAGGAACTACCAGTGCTGGATGAGCTGGACGCCGAGCTGACCGAGGAGCTGAGCACGGCCATACACCGTCTGTTGACCAGCAAGGCTACTGGTGAAGATGGCATACCCCCTGAAGTCATCAAGAGCGGGATGGACGCACTGCTCCAGGACCTGCATGAGCTGCTCTGCCTGTGCTGGAGGGAGGGCTCGGTACCAAGGGACATGCGCGACGCCAAGATTGTGACTCCCTACAAAAACAAGGGTGACCGCAGTGACTGT